ACTGCAGTGTCTCTGTATGCTGGTTTGTGTGTTCTCCAACACAACTCTCACAATGCTTCTAACAGTTTTGCTGAAAGCCATCATGAAATGACGTCGTGTGACAGACGTTGGACATTGCAGATGGCCATAAATGTGGCCCGGTTGCTGAGTACTTGAAATATATTCATGTGACTGGGGGAAGGATAGATCTGACCATCATAACTTCAAATCCAGATCGAAAGTACAAGATAATTCCGCTCATTGCTGTGAAAGTATCTGCTCATGTTGCAAATAGAAGACTAGACAGGTGTGCCCTTTAAAATATTTGCAGTAGAATTGCTTTTGCCCACTTCCATTTTTTGACATAAGGACCACCAATGTATTTCTAATGCAGGGCTATCAAACTTCCGTCATATGCTGGCCATGCCCACATCCAGTTTAGCAAAGAAGGGGGGGATTCCCGATAATCACATGACAATGCCATAATGATGTGAGTTTGACACCCCTATTCTAATGTTCTAATGGAAATCACTACCTCTTTTCTTGGTTGTGTAAATGACTTCTTTATGCAGGATGAAGCCCAATACAGGTTAGTTTTGATATACTGAAAATAATCTAAATCCGTCTCCCATCTCTTGTTTCCAATGGAAGCCATTATTTTAGGCTCTGGATCAATGGCCATCTGTTTACAAACAGCGTTTCGTGCAGCATAAGGAATCTTGCTCTGTCTGGTTAGCATTTATGTTTAGCTTCTTATGCCGACTTAAGTTTACAGTTTAAGAGCAAATTTTATTTTAATTTTCATCCTGCAAACAACTTGGTCAGAATCCTATTGATGATGATCATGATTATTCACTAGGGAAGTGATTAGATTGTCTTCAGGGTTCATTCACACCCAAACATTCTTGAATATCCAATGAAATTCCGGTCTTTGTGTTAACCCAGAAGAGCAAGTGACAGACACTTGTGAAATCTGCAAGGGGCAAGATGGAACAACTCCCTCTGCTTGGCCATAAATTATCTTCTTTTGCATTCCTGTTCCATTCCTCTGCTAGAAGCTACTTTGATTTTTTTAATTATTAGCAAGTATGGACGTGTTCTTTCTTCTTCTTAATCTTTATGCTTTCTGCCTCTCAGATTATTATGCAGATTATCTAGAACTTCTGCGCATTTCCTGGCCAGTAATTCACACGTGAATTTTTGAAATCTCCCTGATTTTTCCCTAATATTAGCCTTGTGAGGATATTCATTTGGAGAACAACAAGAGATTTAAATGGATTTCAAGGCTCAGGACATCAATGTTATATAATTAATATTAATGTGCACATACATTTTAAAAAGAACCCTTTCTGGATGCTTCAAGAGTAGGAGTGGGCAATTTTTTTGGAGCCGTGAGAGTTTCACTTAAAAATTTAAAAAAATGGCTTCAAGGGCTTGAATGGTGATGTAGTGATATTCCTGGAAGAAGGGGGGGGGAATCCTTTTTTTTTTTTTTAAGCTAGATGTGTTTTACTAAAGCAAGCACATTATTTATTCAACAGCACCGCCCCCCCCTCCTTCCTTCCTGTTTTGCTGGAACTCCTCTTAGAATTGCTATTTCTCAGGCCAAAGAGGATGGACTTTGGTGAACTGTGCACCAAGCTATGTTCTGTCTCTATTAGGAAGAAAACAGCAAGAATCAAAAATGCAGTGAACAACTCCCCCACCCTAAAGGTAGGCTTACAGTGGAAACCTTTTGGGAAAAGTGTATTTTTGTGATTTGATGGCTAATAACACCACTTTTTTGGGTAGTACCATAAAATTATATATCAATGGAAAGATAATTTAATCAAGAATGTAACACAACAAGGTTTGTTCAATTATCTGTAATCTATGAAAAGTTATAGCCAAATATAGCCAGCAATAAAACCCAGTTAATAGAAGCAATCATTCAATCTTGGTTTCATATTATAACAGCTGCAGAACTAAAAGCCTTGGTTATTCTATTCATGCTAAAGGTTACACAACTAAGTATTAACTGACATGGTGATAATTTTTGTATATCTCAGTTTTTCTATGGTGATAATTTTTGTATATCTTGTTTTTTCTACGTGTTTCAATTTTCTTCTTTATAACTGCTATTCTAATAGCAAATCCTTCATAAAAGTTATTACATTACATTCTTGATTAAATTATCTTTCCATTGATATATAATTTTATCATACTACCCCAAATAAAGTGGTCTTATTAGCCATCAAACGTCAAAAATACTGCACACTTTCCCCAAAAGATTTCCACAATTTTGGCCACTACTGTACAGATTTGCACTAAAATGCTTTTAAGGAAATATTTTAATCACAAAAATGCCTAGCCACTCAACCTGCAAAATATCAAACAACCAACAGAGTATTACAACCACAAGGCACACAATTCAATCAAAGCTCTTCAAAACCTCTTAAGTAAACCAAAAGACCCAGCTACAACTTGTCTGAGACAGAGAAGTATAAGATTAGGAGAGCAACGCCAACTAGTAATCAGATGACACAATGAAAACTCCTTAATCTCACAACACATGGACAGATCTACCATAGTTTCAACTAGGAAACAATGAGCACTCCAGATCAAGCCAAATCTAAAAATGCCAGATAATTCCTGGAAGCTTAACATTCAGATAAATCAGCCATCAATAGACACCTAAAGAAATAAACTACATTTACACCCCATTCAAAAGATTCAATAAAAAAGCTAAGAAGGAAACAAAAAAATCAGAATATATCTCTCTAGCAGCCTACACCCAGATAAACAGGGATCAACATCAGACAAACTATCAAGCAGAAAACTGTACAATAATGAAGGGACAATCGAGGAGAAAAACTAGACATCCAGCAATAGTAGCAGGGCAAGCTATTGTATATAAATAGGGAGCTGACCTCATACTCACTGGAACTGATGGAGTTACTTAGTCAGGTAATTTAACATCTGCAACCACGCTCAGAGATGAACTACAGTTCAATTGTGAGCTATTCTGACTCTTCAGATACTTTCAAAGTGGTAAAAGAAGCATTTCAGCACAGATTTTAAGAGATTGCTACAACAGTAAATATGCTATGAAAGATCTTGTAACAAAAAAGGTAGCAACACATTCAGTTGCTCTAAGTTACCCATTGGCCCTCTTTAAAGGAAGCCAAAGCTGCACTAAGATTGCCTGCTCCCTAAAATCAAGCTTCCTGTAAATCTGAAAAACTTTTGAGATGGTAATGTGGATTGGTTATTGGTTGCAGTGGCATCTAAATAAGTAATGAATTTGCAGAATTCACTGGCTGCCCTCATGCACCATGTTTTATTATGGTTTGAATAAACTACAATTGTTGAAAGTGGCTTATAAAGGGCTCTGGCTGGATTCCGACAATGTCTTTTACTGTACATAACATTTAAAATTAGTATGTTAGGTGATCAGGCTCAAATTATGCTGCTCTGGACATGATTTGAAGATCCATCTCTCTGGAGAAGGCTTTGAGGTTGGGAAAGATAGAAGGAAATAGTAGAAGGGGGACAACCAACAACAACCAGATTGGTCTTTCTAGTTAATCTTTAGGCTTTAAAGACCTGAAGGACCACATTAAGGAGAGATCATCATGGAGAACATCTATCTATGTGGTTGCTAAGAGATGACAGCAATTTGATGGCATGTAATCAATCAAAATCACTATTAAGTGATCTAGAGCTCTCTTAAAAAAATAAACAGGAGGGGAAGAAATGAAAGCCTGTTCAAGACTATTTTACAGCCCCCTTTGTCAGTGACAACCCTCAAGGTCTTGTTCTGATGGAAGGCCTGGCTTAGTTGCTATGCAAACAGGCACATTCATGTGGTGAAGCAACTCTGCTGACTGGTGGGTGGGATGGCCTTGATTCTGCCTGGCAGGGATTTGCAGAACCTGAAGAGATGCTCTCAGAGGACTCGGATACAATTTCCCATAGGGGAAGAATGCTTCAGATAAAAAGTGAAATTTCAGTGAAATTTCCGGTTTTTGCTTGGAGTTACAGGAGGGAAGAGAGGCTGGTTGCTCAGAGAGAAAGCTCCTGCTTGCATTCAGAATGCCCCAAATCTGAAACAACGGCCAAATAACAATGCTCAAAGAAACATTGGAAAAAACCCCAGTGAAGCAGAACAGAGAAGAGCAAAGCAAGAAAACTAAAATCAACCCTCCCTGAGACGACTCCTCCCTTCCAATCACCAACAGTGCAATCTTGCACACAGGTGTTCCTACCCTTTATACAGAGTCCCAGACCAATCCTTGGGTGCACACACTGCACAAAGGTAGATCACCACCCACGGTTACTCAACATACCAGGCCAGCATGGCAAAAGTTGCTATAAGCTTATTCGAATAACGAGGCAGAGCTCGGAGGTAGTAAAAAGCTCTTTCTCTGTCTATGGAGATTCTCAATCATCCAGGTCACGATTGTCCGAAAGGTGCTTTTCGAAAGGCAACTGGACATTCTTGGATTTTTTCATGAAAATATTTCGTTTCTCATTCAAGCAGCTTAGTTTAGTTTACTTTATTGCCACTGCACATTGTACAATGAAACTAAATGCCATCTTCAGTGTACGTTAAAACTATAAAAATAAAAACACAATCACACATCCTTCACATGCTATGCAATTGAAATTGAACACCCCCACCCCCCCGCTATTGCATTAATATTGCAATGTACCATAGAATTCAATATAGTTACTGACCTGGGATAGAAGCTGTTTTTCAGCCTATTTGTTCTTGTTTGTATTATCCTGTAATCGTTCTTCAGCTTCTGAAGAAACTCCTTGGATGAGAAATGAATTTTTTTCAAGGAAAAAACCAAGAGTCCCATTGCCTTTTGAAAAGCACCTTTGGGATAGCTCTGGTTATCCAGCTCCTCACAAGTAGTCAAGTCCAGACCACCCCAAGTTTCAGGTGTTTGTAAGAACTGTCAAACACTTCAACCTCTCCCTGCAGGAGAAAGCGACACCCCACAACTAGGCTTTTAACAAACCAAAAGGTGAAGCACCAATGATGGTTTCTGTTTAATCTTGAAGGAACACAAAAATTAAAATGACATACGAGGAAGACAAAGGGAAAGGGAGAAGAGATTGTTGAGATCCCCTTGCAAGGACAGAGAGAAGCCATCTTCTTCCTCGGGCTTCCGTCTTCTTTCCCATCCTTTCTATACCATGCAGGCCACATTGACAGCAGCTTTGGGAAGGCCCAAGGAGGAAACTGAGCCAGCAGAAACCAGAGCAGAGATCTCTCCACTTGCTCTGCAGGGCATTGCAAGTCAAGGGCCTGAGAGGAGCTGAGCGGTGGTGGCAACAGGCAACTGACCTGTCCCCACAAAACCCCTTGCGTGCTATTTGGTGCAGAAATGCAGAAGAACATGGAGATGGTGAAGGAGGCTGCAACCCTTCTGGCTGCAAATGTATGCAGAACCAAATTTAGCAAAACAAACCATATTCTAAAAAAAAATAAGCAGAAAGGGGTGGAAAGGGTGAACCAAGATTCCCTTTATGCGTTATGTTTGCAAAGGTTTCTTTTTTTAATGGAAACTTTAGGAATGATATCTGCACACACTTGTAGTCCGTTAGGTGGTACAGCTCATTTTACCATTTCAGAATTTGACTGCTATTTTCTGGTGATACTCAGTGGCAAGAGTGGGCATGAGCGTTTTTCCTATCCATTAGCACCTCCAAGCGCAGGTCAGACATCTGCAGAGGCCACTCCTTTGAAACAGGGGAAACACAAATGAGCTGCAGAGGAATATTTTGTTTTCCTATAGGAGGCTCAAGACATTATCCGTTTCCACCACCACTTATGACCTGTGGGAATAGGAGCTGCCCTCAGCTCACAAATCAGGTTCTGGTTGAGATGCCCCTGCAAACTGGAGATCCTTTGCTGGGGAGGGGATGCACAAAGAGGCCAGGCCTCTTCATCTGCCCAAACCGTGGATCCCTTTCCACTAGATGATGATGCTTTGCCACACAACAACCACACTCATGCCATCTCCACAAGTCCATCTTCTGAGAAGATGAGCCAATTTTGCAGAAGGCATTGGCAATGCTGGCTGGATTACCAAGCATGGGACATGAGAGGGAGCTGCGGTTCACAAGTATCTCAATTTAGCTCTTCCCCACCCCCCAAAAAAGCAGCGGAATCTCAATGGCTTGTTGGGTAAGCCTGTCTCTATCCCATCACAAAAGCCAGGAGGGGAAAGGAGAGATTTGACCTAGTCCTGGGTCTTCTTATTGCTGTTGCCCAATGACAAGGCCCGTGTAGGACATGGAGAAGGGCGCAAAGTCTGCACACAGGTGGTGGGTTGACACACAAGACAAGACTAGCCCTTCACCAAAACAAAAGAAGGGGGGAAGGGAGTTCCTTTTAAAGTTGCATCTTCTCCCTGGCTTCCAGGACCCTACAGAGAGACTGACTGGAGCAAGGGAGAGAAGGAAAAGAAACATTGCTGCTGTTCAACAGCACACTGCTCTGAGGCACAAGCCTGATCTCAAGGAGGAAACAAGAGACAATGGACTCAGGGGACCACACAAGAAATTGGTGGGGGGGGGGAGTGGCAGGAGCACAATTCTGGCAACATGGCACACACCAAAACCCAGCTTGTACTTGCTTGGTGTGACTGGGCAGGAGCATAGCAGGCTAGAACAACCATTGTCTGAGCACTGCCCAGGCGGTAAGTGGAATTGTCAGAGACCATACGCTAAGAGAGGCCTACTGGCCGGAGCCATCTTGAGTCCACTCCCCTGAATCGCCATTTTCTCTTGATCCCAACAAAACAAAAAGGATCCCATGGGTCAGGATAAAGGCAGTGTGGATGAGAGGACAGAACACAACAAAAACAGTCCATAACACACACAACGTGGAGTGATTCCTGGCGCAGTGGGTCCTCTCCACCACTTTTATCACTCCAGTCAGGGCAGGGACTGGTGGAGCAGCTGCCCCAGTTACAAGCTGTATCTGGGGGACCGGCCGGCCATGGCCCTTCAACACAATGCAACTCTTCCTCTTTTTGTTAATGGAAGCTTGGAGAATATGTAGTACAGAGCCTAGCAAGCCGGTAGCCTGCACGGAGCAGAAACAAATTTTCTGCCTCACCTTGCCTGGCCTGAGTTGAGCCCGCCCTGCACCGCTAAAATGGTTCCAGTGAAATATGAAGTGGGACGGGCTGAGCATCATGAGGGGAAGGATGCTTGATGGACAGTTCAGAAGACTGAACTATAAAACTCCTTTGAAAGTACTGCAATAGCCAGAACACCGTCTCTTAATACCTTTTGCTTTAAGCCTCTGGCTACCACGCAGTTCTTTGCCACAGCAGGCAGTTTATGTTTAGATTTGGTTTTTGGGGGGGTTTGGAGGGGGGAATAGACAGAACAGGAGAGAGGAGAGAATAGGGAAATACTGAAAGGTGACTGAAATAATAATCTGCAAGATTAGGATCCCAGCTGTACCTTAAAACCACTTGGTACCTTCACCCGCCATGTGGGAGAGAAGGGCCCTCTCCCCTCCCTTTACACAGGAGGGGGGACAGCGCAGGCGGGTGGGGAAGGCTCGAGAAAGGAGACGAGTGACTGGTGAGGAGGTGGATTGCCATGGCTTCCAATTGCAGCCAACAGGTCAAGGGTTCAAGATCAAAGCTGGTGACCTCTGTCTCCTCTCCCTGCAACAGTCTTGACTAGCTCAGCTTAAATCCTGGGCAACAGTTTTTCAATGAAGTCTTTCACCGCCATCATCTCCTGCACAGATGGAAGAGGACGGAAAATACTCTTTTACTTCTTGAGGCCATGTTAGACAGACAGACCCACCCTAATAGCATGGATGCCTCCCTTCCTAGTCCCCAAGCTTAGCACACCCCAGTGCTCATCACCATTTCAAAGCTAAAGAGCCAGCGCTGTCCAAAGATGTCTCCGTGGTCATGTGGCTGGCATGACTAAATGCCAAAGGCACACGGAGCGCTACCCTCCCACCAAAGGTGATTCCTATTTTTCTACTTGCATTTTTTACGTGCTTTCGAACTGCTAGGTTGGCAGAAGCTGGGACAAGTAATGGGAGCTCACTCTATTACGCGGCGCTAGGGATTTTAACTGCTGAACTGCCAACCTTTCTCATTGACAAGCTCAGCGTCTTAGTCACTGAGCCCCTAAATACCCATATTTATAAATTTCTGCAGACAGGTGCAAAAGTCCAACATAGAATTCAAGTTCATCCCACAGGATACTGGAGACTTTCTTAGAAAGCTGTAGTGTGTATTACATAAGAAAGGCTTCCCTATTAAGAGAGACCTCTACAAAAAAGGGATCCATTTCCAGCTGCTGCCAGCTGAAACTAAGAAGATCCAAGATCTAGGGACAGAGCTTGTCAAGCAACATAAGGTACCTTAACCCCATTATCTCAGTCTGAACCTTTTTGCAATCAGGCCCAGCTATGAGAAGCGGAGTGGCTACCAACCAACCTGAGGGCAAGAGTTGTGCATCATTCTGGGGTAGGTTCTGAACTGGATTCTACTAGGATTCACAACCCCCTTCAGCTTCTCTGCAGTGAGAGCTCCGAAGCGCACTGGGATCATCGGGTCCATCTCACCATGGCACTGCAGAATGGCGATATCCTTGTTCACACCATTATTTGCTGCCTGCAGTCATCATGAGGAAAAAACAACAGCAGCATGGTAAGCTGTGAATCACCCACAAACAGATGTTGGTCTCTTGCCATGGTCATTGCAAAGGAGTGATTCCATCCAACAGACCTTGGCCCAGCATGCATCTCCCCCGTCCCCCACCCACCCCGGTTCCAAAAGCGAGGTTAGGCCACCTACCTGAGGGAAGGTCCTGTGCAGGGGAAGCCAACAGCTGAGGGCCACAATGCCAGCCAACTGGTGAGAGCAAGTGAGTGCTGTGTAGAGGGACAGGGCGCCACCCTGAAGCACAACATCAGAAAACTGGTCAGAGCTTATTCCAGTAAGGATCTTCTCCCAAAAAGTCTTTCCCCAATCTCTCCTCTAATGCTTCCCCCCACCCCATTTCACAGCAAATAATGCCGTTCCCAAACATGGGCCTAAAGAAACTCTTCCCTTCCAATTGCTTATCAGAATCTCATAAATGAAAAAAAATCATTAGCTGTCTGCAAGTTGAATGTTTCTATAGGGAAGTTGAATAAGAGTATTTGAGAAAAAACTGTTTGACCAAAAAAAACCCAGAAAAAATAATAACCAGAGTGCTAAAAATCCATTCTCTCTCTATTCTTAGCTTAGAGGAGCTTAGCAGACACTATTGCAAAGTGTAAAGGCATGTTTCCCAGGATCTTAAGAATTAGAAGCTTCTAAGAAAAAGAATTTGTGGGAGAGGAGGAAGTTCTCAATTAAATTTTGAACTGACTTTTGAACTATATACTTGTATTAGAACTTACTTTTTACCTCCCTTTTTACAGTCCTGTAATCTGTACAACTCAATTCTTTAATTAAGGTAAAGGAAAGGAAAGAAGTCCTGTGGATTTTACTCCGCTAGTCGTTGCAGTCAATACGGTGTTCATCTCCATTTCAAGGCCATTGAGCTAGCATTGTCCGAAGACATTTCTGCAGTCATGTAGCCAGCATGATGTCATAGAGCACTGTTACCTTCCCACTGAAGTGGTACCTATTTATTTACTTGAATTTATATGCTTTCCAACTGCTTGGTTGGCAGGAGCTGGGGGCAGGGACGGGATGTCACCCTGTAGCCTAGAGCTCTAGAAGGTTCGGCCTTCTAGAGCCGAGGTAGCGCAGTGGTTAAATGCAGCACTGCAGGCTACTTCAGCTGACTGCAGTTCTGCAGTTCGGCTGTTCAAATCTCACCGGCTCAGGGTTGACTCAGCCTTCCATCCTTCCGAGGTGGGTAAAATGAGTACCTGGATTGTTGTTGGGGGCAATATGCTGACTCTGTAAACCGCTTAGAGAGGGCTAAAAGCCCTATGAAGCGGTATATAAGTCTAACTGCTATTGCTATTGCTAAAATAGGCTGTGATTTTCCAGCCAACAAGCCCAGTGTCTTAACTGCTGAACCATCGTGCCGCTCCAATTCTTTAATTAACATGACTATTACATCACTATAATTTAATTTTTTAGCTGTTCTCTTTTTTTCCTTTTTCATGTGACTCTACCTCTTTTTGCATTATGGTTGACACTTGGCCTAACAAAGCTGCACATGTGTTTTTTCCAATAAAGCAGCAGGACTCAAAATAAGACCTTCTGGAGCAAGTTTGGACTCTCAAATGAGTCCAAACTTGCTCCAGAAGGCCTTATTTTGAGTCCTGCTGCTTTATTATATATATATTTGTTTTCTGATGTTATATATATATCTTTCACTTTCTTCCATTTTTGGTGCAGCTATGGACATCCTAAAGCAGTGTTTCTTAACCTTGGCTACTTTAAAATATGTGGACTTCAACTTTCAGAATTCACCAGCCAGCCTAACAAATACTGTCCTAAAGGAAACGGGTCATGTCCATTCCAACTGTCAAGGGGGCTTCCCGGGCACCCCATAAAGGAGACCCTCTTAGTCAGCATAGAAACCTGCCTCCTCCACGCCCCATTAGTTCCCACCTGTGAAAAGCCTCCCAAGATGATCCGGTTGGCTGGGATCCCATTTTTTACTTCATGGTCAATTACAGCTTTAACTGGAATGCAGAAAGAGAAAAGAGACAGTTTGACTACAAGTTAACACAGAGTTGGAAATGGTTGTGAAGCAAATAGGTCTACTAATATGGATTTATGGCGTGGTTCGCTGTTAGAAATCCCCCACACACATTTTTTTAAAAAAAATCAAGCTGAATTAGTTACAGAATCAGCACTCAAAGAACAGTAATGCAAGTAAACGGGGAGTATGCTGCAAGAAGCCATGGGAGAAGGTGAGGGTGGGTGCAAAAGTCCACAGCAGCATTACAACCACTTTGGTTTTGCAAAACAGCTCTGGAATTTGCCTTAGGAAGGAAGTGGTTTCAAATGACCACACAGGGCAGAATGGTGACTCTCTTCTTCAGCCAGCCTTGAAGAAAGGAACTACTCTCTGGCCACACTGAATTTTAGAACTCCCTGGGAGGCTGGGTTATTTCCTCAGGCAGCAATTTGCCAGTTGGAGAAGCCCTTGTTTAGGAAGGCATTTCTTTCATAGAGTACATATTTCATTCAATGCTTTTACTTTAGCTCCTCTTACCTGACTTTTGGATAACTGCTCTTCCTTAGTTGTTACTATGCATCATATTAATTCTGGTTTGTTGCAATGAGCAATGTAAGTAGTAGAGGGATTAGGAGGGAGGGTGTTTTACCGATAAATGAACACATGAAATAAGCAGAGATTGGGAAAGTGCCAGGTGTGCAAACCGAGACTTCCTTGATCCTCCCTTTCCTGCCACCATTAACCTTTACATTTATCAAAGAAGGGCTGTAGCTCAGGGGGAAATGACATGGTCTCTTGGACAATAGCCCAGATTCTGTCTTTTCGTCTTTGTCTTAGATCTGGGAAAGCTTCCAGTTAGGAGAAGTCTTTCCCCAACCTGGGGCCCTGCAGGTGTATGCAATTCCCAGAAACTATGGTCCGCAGACAAGAGGCAGGTAGAGGCCGACTGCTTTAAGGAGCCACACATCCCATGCGGCAGGCAATGTTTTTGGCAGTCAGGGATTGCACCTTTTACAATTTATTTTTTTCCTGGACTCCAAGAATAGTGGAAGCTATCATTATATCACTCTGAATATTATTGCCACAATGTTGGCTCTTTCCTTAGGAAGGGGCTCTAATGGCATTCATCTTTTTTTAAAAAAAAATAAAAGTTCATTAAGTGCATTAAAATTGCAGCTATTTTGCGTAATTCCATATACATATCCCCCCCCCCCAAAAAAATGAACATTGAATTTAGTCAGAATAATCTGTAAGTGATGCAAGGGCCACAAAAAGGAGAGACTGGGTATTCAGTAGGATCATCTGAATTGTCCAACCAGGGTATAAATTATTTGACATATGGGCCTGACATAATTAAAGACATTGTGTTTTCTAAAAGCAAGGTTATATATGCTCCAAGGCAAATTGGATCCCCTCATGCCTCAAAGATTTATTTTGTTTTTCTATTCAGATTTATGACCTGCATGTCTGCACATTCCCAAGGACTGCATATGTTCTTCAAAAAGTACCATGAAGAGGAGGCCCAGTGTTCACCCAGCTGGAGAATCTCGACATCTGGCTTCTGCGATGTACAAGGAATTAAATTTTCCAGGCCATTTTGCTGGCTTTAGTTTTTGTGTGAATTAGGCAGTAACTGCAAACACAGAAAGGCTTCAGAGTTCTTTTTTAGCCTTGGGAAACGACCCCAATCACCTATCTTGATTTCCAACCACTGGAAATTATGATTAAGAGAAATGTGGGCCGATTCGGAAAATGCCCAAGGAAACGCCTCTCTTACTGTTCTCAGCAGCTTTTTTAATTCCGTTTTCATCTTCTGGTGCATCCGGACTTAGCCCCATTAAATCAAACCTGAAATGGGGAGAAAAAAGGAAAGACCATCACTGTCATATCTTCTAAGACATTCATCTGAGGCCAAATAAGTGCCCTGGGGCATAGCATTATGGTGCATGGTAATTTGGCCGCATGGAACTCCAGCAGCAGCATTTGGAAACAGGGGCATAATTCTGTCTTCCACTCAGCATCGTTCATTTGACTTCCATTCCACCAGACCTTAAAAAGAGGCATAAAATGACCAACTCCATTCTACTTTTGGGTGAAGGCATGCCAGATTACAGGACTGTAATCAGGATTGATCTGATATGGTGAGTAAGAATAGGGTCCATGTCATGGCCCAGAATTGAAGCTAACAGATACTACAACTTTTAATCCAAAACATTAGGATTGCCTCTCCCACCAGCTGGCCTTGTCATGATATTTATCTCGTATCTGGAGGGTAGCAGTTTGGAGAAAGCTTAATTGGAAGCTTTGTGGCAGGCAGCAATTTGAAAAAAGGCCAAAAAGAACAAGTGAAAATACATAAACTCTGCTAAGATTATAATAAGGCTGTGTAAGAAGGCCATTTTTACATCACACACTTAATGTTACTAAGTGAATACTTCCATGAGTAAATTCCATGTATTCTCTCCAAATTTCTACCAACCCATTAGTCTTCACCTTTTCCCTAATCACTTCTCCAAGATCTTTTCCCATTGCTCCTAAGGCAGGAGAAGAGTTTGGCTGCTAATAATACAAGGAATATTGTTTAATACTAACCAGGAGGGCATAACCATTTTCATGTTGAGAGTGACAGGGATCCTGGGCCTGCAAAGAGAAACAGAAAATGGGGTATAATTCTAGTAGGGCCACAGGTAAGAAGGCTAAGGAATTTAAAAATGATAAATATCAAAAGATCATACTTTTAAAAAAGTAACAGCAACATTCTCGAAATTCCTCTAAACTGTGCACTGTCCACAAGAGCAGTTTAGATCAACACTATAGCCTAAACCTTCCCCATAAAACTGGCAGTTGGGAAGACATTTTTCAGGCAGATCAGGTTTGTAAAGCAAGAGAAAGCAAAGCTGCTCTCCTTCTCCCTTCTCTATTTCATTTAGAGTCCCTGCTCAATCAAGCTGTGTTTGGTGTGGTTGCCTAGTAAACTACCCTGGGATCTGACCATTAGGGGACTGACTTGATCCTGGGCTTGGTGCTTTTGCTAGGAAGCAGCTGAGAAACACAACACCATTTCTTTCTATTGAGTCTGCCCTCAGCAACACTGACTTTGGGACTGGGAAGTATCTGCCTACTGCCCATTCACGGAAGCTCTAGCAACAGGATTAACAGCAAGACGCCATAGAATCAGCCGCAGAATGTGCTGTAAGAACCACTGGGACAATCTTCTAAGGTAAGAGATGAACATCAAGAAAGGCAAGAGGGTTGGTGGTAGGTTCAGGCGCAGTTCGGCATACTTTCCTAGAGCATCTCTCATATTTACTATGTGTGTGTAAGGATGAAGCAGCATTGTACAGTTCCTTTGAAGGCCCCAATTCATTTTGGCCTTGCTGTTTGCCTGTTCAGGATCTGGAGATATTCATGTGGGAAATGCATTCCTGCTCATTATTGGGTTCATCAACTTCCTGTCCATTGCATCTCAATCTCAATTGCTAACAAGATCTCACGTTTGGAATTCTGTACATGGCCAAATAGAGAGCTGGGGCTCAGCTAGGGTTTGTGATGGTCTGAATTCTGGATCCCTAGTAGCTGTTAATAGGGAGGAGAACACAATGGCTAAGCATACATAATCAGGATAAATTATTAATGAAACTTCTTGGCGCAAATTATGTCACCTCTTGCACATAATTCCAGCCAGCAAACTCAAGCCTAAAAGAGATCAGAATAGGTCTTTTTTCCTCAGTCTATTAAAGAAGTAGGAGTGAAAAAAATGGAAGCTGCAGGAAAAGACAATAGGGTCAAAGGGAAAATAGCTATAGTTCAGTATTTTAACCATTATTAACCATTAGTTTGCAGACTTCTAAGAACTACACAGTAGTGAGCAGTAGGGAAGCATGAGAAAGCCTAATACATCAGAGTAATGTACAATAAAACAGATATCAGAAGTATATGCCAATTTCTGAGCGACATAATACCTTGGCTTGTTATACTTTGTTTGCAACCTGTAGTTCTCTCACTTGCTGATACTATTTTTTCCTGATTTTGCAACCCTCTTTTCAAATAGCAACATCTATCCCTGCCCACCATTAAACTTTCTATCATTGGATTAAGATAAAGTCCTAATTTAGCACAAGATGATGGTGAATGAGTCCCTTGGTGGTCTTTTATTGTGTTTTAGGTAGTGGTGGCTACAAACGTATATTATTACTGTTATGGTTGGTTACAGTCAGCCTGATGTTTAGACTGGATTTGGCATTTTTATCCACCTATTTGGTGGATAAAAGGACCTGAGATAGGCAGATGTTGTGATTTGAAGGTATTATCATCACTATATGCATAACAATGTGAAGTGGCATCTGCCAGGTCTTCAGCTGGTGCTGGCCTTCATTTGCATCAAGTTCTTCCCAGGAATCTAGGATTTCCTAATGTATCAGGGAGAATATTTCAGAATCCAGTATTTGAGAATCCAAGCATGTTATAGTCACTATGGAAAACACTAGGTTATTGCATTTTTTTGTAATGATGGTTATATCGATTGTACACTGAAAGCCATGGAATGAAGGATGGAAATATTTTATTGAAAAGCAACAGTACTCTTTTCAGTGCAGTAACCACATTTCATCTCTCTGCCCTGCCCAAAAGATACAAGAGGTATGGCCAGTGATAGCATTAATATCATAGAACAGGTGCTTTCATGTTTTCATCCCTGAGGGAAAATCACCAAATTGGGGGTGAAATTCAGTGCTTCTCAACCTGCATTTTAAAAACAGAATAACAGTGATACTTACGCATGAGGGCAGATGTATTTCACATAAGGGAGCCGGATGGAAGACAGAGCATCAGCCCAGCTGTGCCTGAAGGGGGAGGGCAAAAGAAACAGGTCAAGTCACCATCCAACATAAACATGAAAAGGCAAATTTTTTTACTGATCATGCCAGAGGCTCTTTCTGCTGAAAAAGACAGTTGGGAATATGCTCATATCTGCCAGCTGTGATAAGGATCTGTGCCTGCTTTTTCCAAAATTCCCAAACACTGCATCAGTGAGGACAGCTTGGTAGAGGAGATCATATCCCCATATCAGCGCAACATCCAGATATACAAGTAGTCCTTGACTTATCACCATTTGTTCAGACTCTTCGAAGTTACATTGGCACTGAATAAATGGTGGCTATTTCGGGTACTCAGAGTTCCAGCCATCTCAGCAACCCTCCCATCACATGACTGCAATATGAGTACTTGGCAACCCACTTGCACTTTCAGTTGCCTGCCAAGTGCCCTGTGATCACAGGACCACCATTAGCAACCTTCTATGCCAGCATCTCCAGAAAGTCAAACGGGAAGCCAGCGGGGAATATCACAATATCATTGGGTTAAGTCTCCACCACCAGTGCACTCTCCCATAGTCCTTGCGTGCTTGCTACAGCCACTCATACACCCTCACCAACTCAAGCAGTACCTCTCTTCCAGAACCACATGGTACCTCTCATGCACCCTCTTTACCTCTTTTACATTTGTATGGTCTCAACCCACCTTGATCTATGCAGTACTTCTTGTGCACCCTCCCCAACCCATACCTCTCACACTCCCCACATATCCTCCACAGGTGGTCTCACCAAGGTTTTTTCAGTTAAAAATAAAGATAAAAGTTTCCCTTGTCCTCTTGTATCTGACTCTAGGCAGCAGTGCTCACCTTAGTTTCTTAGCCAAGGGAGCCAGGATTGTCTGAAGACCCTTTCTGTGGTCATGTGGCCAGCATGACCATATGCCAAGGCTCATGGAATGCAATTACCTTTCCACCAAAGAGGTACCTATTTATCTGCTCCCGTTTGCATGCTTTCAAACTGCTAGGTGGACAGCAGACTGCTAAGTGGGCAGGAGTTTTTGTAGTTAGATTGATGTAAACGAGGAAATGGAATTAGTCTGTCTCCTATAAGACTCATGCTCTTCACCTTTAATTTTTTTAACAAGCCAACAAATGAAAATGACACAAAATTTGTCCATTTTAAAATCAAATGGGGTTGTTGGGGAACTGCATTAGCCCACAGTTGTTAACTCCTGCGCTAGATGGACCAACAGTTCCTAGGTTCTTTTCAATGCAAAAACTAGGTTCTAAACTCTAAATTCATCAACTTCATTTCAGTATCTTCTCATTCCAATCCTTTAATATTCTGCTCCCTATGTTGGCTACAATACCGACATTTACCTCCAGCTCCTGATTTCCCCAATCTAGGTTTATGAAATGCAGAGGGGGTTTTGCCTCCCCAACTCCCATTACCCACTCCTGTTACCAGCATAGCTATACAGCCAGATTTCCCCAATACTCACCCTGTGTCACCGAGCCCGTGCAAAAAAATGACCTGCAAAGTCAAGTAGAAAATAAGCACATTAGCTGGCTCAGCAAGCAAGAAAGTGCTACCAAAGCTACTGTAATCAGGAAGCGTTCTGTGAGGTCAATTAGTTTCAAAACAAAAATAGATTATGCAGAAGGGAAGAAGCAGGAATCACTCAACCTAAGGTAGTTAGAAGAAGATGAAAACGAAGATGTGTGACTGAATCATTTGTGACCAAGGTACCATCATATCATGATGCCTTCTCCCCAACAAGATGATTCACTGGGAAAAAATATGCAAATATATCTGTCAATATTTATTACATTTCACTAAATGAGCAAAGTTCCTTCATCTGGAATTTTCATACCTAGGTAAGAAAGCTTTCTCCTTACATGGCACCAGCTGGGCCAAAGCTATTGCCATCTTTGACTTAATCAAGATGGCCATCGCTGTTTTCTCCCTGATTCCTTCCTAGTTCAATTCTGATTTTCCACCAAAGCAAGATATAAAATGATTCTACCAGAGCACAGAATTCAGCTTCCTGAGAGGTGAAGCTTCTATTGCTATAGAGAACAATTTCCCTAAAGACAGTGGAAGTAGAGGTAGAAGCAGCAGGCAGTGCCAGATGAAATCCCAGAAGGCAAAGGAGCTGTTTCCAGGAACCCTCAGAGAGTTATCAAGCTTCACTCACAGCAGATCTTGGGATCTAGTTTGGTTCAAGTCACTTTGGAGTGTGATCAACAACTTTTTTTAATGGAAAGCTAATTTTGTGGATTCTATTATTGTGCAGAAGAGCAGAAACTTTTGTAACTTATGGGATACCCCTCCCCACTCTTGGTCACAAATCTCTGGGTTAGAAAACCATCTACTGCCTGAGTTTCATTCTTCGTATAATCGACTCCTTCTATTATCGCTGTTGTTTGCCAAAGATATTTGAAATTCTACAATGACTTTCCCTCCCATCTTTGAACCTCATGTATTATCAATACATATTTAAAGAAAGCATTTAAATATTTTAACATTTCTCAATGGAATTTCACACTAGATGGAAGCTGGGACTTTTGATCATTCAAAATCCCATGAGTTCCAATGGCTGCAGAACGCTCCAAAAATTCATACCCATTCCCTCAATATATAAAAGTTATAATTCAATTTTAAGTGTGTTATATACATTTAAATAATATTCTAGAAAAAGGATACAGTCCCAGTGCTGGAATTGTACTGCTGAATTTGATCAAAATCAGGACTCACACATTTGTGGTATCTGCGCAAAAGCCATAAAAGAGCTGAATATGGTACAGGGTATATGGTTTACTATATGTGCATCTCGGACTGTTTTGGAAAGACCAATTTTTAAGATGCTAAAAAATGAAAGGGAGGAATCCACAGATTGGATAGCACTAACCATAGTCAGGGAAGACATGATTTCAGTGCCAAGAATGGCTATGTTCCTATCCACATACTCCTCAGGTTATATTGTGGAAGCAGAATGGTATAAAATAAGCCAATCTTGGCAAACCTATTGGGCCTTCATGACTGCTCTAGCTGAATTTTAGACTTTAGATCTTGGGGAAGGGGAAAGCAAAATTCTCTCTTCCACAATGCAAGCAATACATTTTGGTGAGTTTGGATGGCACAAGTTGCAGGCAAGGCCAGCAATGGGACTAATAAATTAAAGTAGTTTTGTAGCATTGGTTCAGTGCCACAGCACAGTATTACCTACTACAATAATTCACCACACCAGCCCCACAACTGGAGAGGGGAGGGGAGGAAGCAGGTTTTAGTCAATTATTACCTAATTAGTGCAAGAGAACAGCACTGAGGGCAACACAGTAGGATACAGTTGGACTAATTACCTGCCAGAGGCAACGGGGTAGATTTTGTAGAGGTCCTACAAACAACATTTTACAGTTTATTGGAAAGGAAGGAAACTGAGCTGATCTCCTTCTGTAGTCCCCCCAACCTCCAAAAAAGCTGATATCAAATTCTTACCACCAGCAGTATTCCTTTCTCAGAAATAGCCTCCCCGTTATGGGGAGAACAATCCCTTTGCCTTCAGTATCAGCAGAGAGAATGGGCTAAAGGAGAAAAACCCATTAATTCCCTAAGCTTTCTGGATGCCAACAGATGGTAAGACCAAAACAGCATGCCCTTACCGCTGCAGTCTCCCGCTCTGTCCCTGAAACGGTCACAGCATCAGCAAGGAGGGGGACAGACATGTTGTTACCGCACATACAACTATACAATTCACACCTGCAGAGGATGAGAAACACAACCCATTAATTTAATTAAATCAGCTTCCTAGAGCTGGATGATTCAGATCCTGGTTGGGAATTTTGAGAGTGAAGTGTTTCTTCTAAACACTTAATTTACCTTAAATTTCAATGTAAGAAATACTCCACAGCTTTTACCTTTTGGGAACTGACAGCAGAGCTGTAAGTAAGTAAACCACTTTAGGATCCAGAAGATTCACAGCTTCCTATCAAATCCCTACAAGTTCACTCTCAGGCTCCTTCAGTTTTCTCTTGGTCCATAAACAATGAAGAATAGGGGTTTGCTATTTTAAAGTTTGTTTTTTTCTCTATTTTTAATGAAATCAGCATTTCCTGAGTAACAACTGTAACCCAGAACATTCATATTTAAAGAATGTCTTTGGCTATTAGTTCAGGAAAAAATAAGGTGCACTCAATTATTCTGAAGACAGTGCTTGTCTAGAAAATGTTCTTCACAAAACCTTGACATAGTTCATATTAAAATCCAACTCAGTTTTGAAAATATTTTATATTTTTCATAACAGCATGTTTTAACAATTTTACAAGGGTACTGTTAAAACAGAATTGGGCTACCTAAACTAGAACATTTTGCACCTGATGGTCAAAAGTAGTAAATATTTTAAAGCTCCATCCTGCTGGGGCAATAAGATTTTTTTTTGTATGGGAATGTTAAAAATAATAGGAAAAGCACTCCAAGGTGTCTTAGTTTTCTCTGCAACTGGACAATGACCTACATGCTGGGATTAAGATAAGTCATAGGTATTAAACATTACATGTTCTGCATATTTAGATTAGCTTTTCCATATTAGTACATTTGCCAGCATGCTGGTTGAGAATTATGTGTTGAAGGCCAACTGGCAGCTTCAGATTGGGAAACATTTTTCTAGACAAGTAATTCATTTGCTGAATTGCTCTAAAGAATTTTTAAAAGTATTTTATTAAAGATTATTTTCCCACTTCTTGTATATATCTATAAATTGTAAATTAGGTATACATAAAGAACAATGAATGATAATACCTTTGCAAAAGAAAAATTAAAACATAGCTACACAAAGAAATATATGTTTAGTATACACATATAGACTGCACACATAGTGTGTGTATTTGTGTTTGTACATGAGAATGTATTAAGAATTGGTTGCCCAGTGTTAGCTATTGCTTCCCTCTTTCCAGATTTATCTTAGAAACTCAAACTACTTCCAAATGTTTTCAACTTTTCTTTAGTTTATTTCATTTGTGGATATAAAAACCTCAGAGTATTACAAACAGGAAGAACAGCCTTTTATTTTAATGGGAGATAAACAGGAAAAAGATTTTTAAAAACCCACTGAAGTCTAAGCTGACTGGTTTCATTTCAGTTTCTTCATTATCTCAGAACAATAAAACACAAATGGCAAAATGAAAAATTGGGGGGGGGGGGAACCCTGAGTCAACAACAATAAAATATCACCCAAGTTCTGCAAGCCATGATTTTTGCTAGAATAAGCAGCAAATGTGCCTAATACTTCTGCCTTTGGTTTTCCCCACAATAACAATCCTGTGAGGTGGGTTGGGCTGAAAGAGGGATTGATCCAAAATCACCCAGCTAGCTTTCATGCCTGTGGCAGGACTAAAACACACATTTCATTCCTTATGTAAAATATAATCTGCAAAGAGCCAGCCTGCTGGCAGCAATTACCTCTAACACTCCCCGAAGTATCAGGAATTACAATGAAAAATTCACTATGTGCCATTTCCAGATTTTTAGCTAAGTTACCCATTACAAAAAATAAGTGAACAATCTGTTAGCTTGTGTAAGTCTAACCAATGTAGTATGACTTCCTGACAAAAAATAGCAATTCAAGTGGCCCATATTCCAAAGCCTAAACATTCTACCCCTAAACTAAGCACTGACCACCTTCTAAAAAAGAAAGCCAACATGCAGTAATTTATTTTACACCAATTTTGTGAAAGAGCCTTGAGGTAACAATAATCAGAATAAAGTCAAGTTGATGAACAAGCAAAGGAAGCCATTGGAGGGGGAGGCATTTTACATGTTTTTGGCATATGTCCTTCCATCCACAGAGAGAGACATCTATGGCACAGGAAGCCTAAAACCCTAACTTTTCTCCACTTTGGAAATATTTTCTTCCCCAATTCTTATTTAGTTATTCACCTAGTTGACTATGACAGTGGAGCCCAACCTTTTGGGCACCAGGGAAAGTTTTTTCCCTGGATTGAGGGGGTATGGTTTTATGTGCTGCCTCCCTCCCACGGATGGGGCTTTGTTTGTTTGCGCGGTATGTTGTTGTGGCATGCCATTAATTCGTGCCAGTCCATGGACCAGAAGTTGGGAACCCCTGGATTATGAGATACAATGAAGTTCTATTTAGTAATCCCCTTTACATTTTGGGTTTCTTTTGCTGGGCGGTTTTGCCTATATGTTTTAATAAAGCCTCCCCCAACTTGACACACTTCAGTTGCACTGGGATTGACACTCCCAGAGAATAACATGCTAGCTAGGAATTTGGGAGCTGTAGTCTCAACATTCCAGCATGTACGATAGATAAGATAGAGACAGACAGACAGACAGACAGACAGACTCAGATAGGAGAGATAGATATGAGGGGTAGATAGGATAGATTGATAGACTAAAATACTATCTAAAGTACAATGTGTTGCACAGTGCCACATTCAAGAATGCTATCTTAGACTTGGAAAGAAAGTTTCATGGGTAAAGTCCATGAAATTACAAAATGCCATAGATTTGGCAGGAACAGAAAATCTCGTGCCTTGAATACTTTTTGGGGTATTACAGCCATTGGCCCAGTGAGTAGACTCAACAGTAGACTTTGATTGGAGCTAGAGAATGTTACATTTGCCCATAGCTAAAATGATAATTTTAAAAAGGCAAACTAATAAAAAAATATAAAATTCTCTCAATCTATTGGCCTCTTCGGATGATAATGACAAGAGTTCTAGCAACATTTTGTCTGATATGAATTCTCTCCCTCACGTAACATTTCATAATAAATGATTATCAGTCAACTGGACTGAGCAGCAATTTTATACATTCGATATGAAGGAAAATAAATTAGCACCTTCCTCAACAGCCTCAGCTTCTCTCAGATCAATAGGATATTGCTAAGATGCTTCTATTTGCAAAACATGAATGTACATTTCTCTATAATGCTTTCACTTTTGGGGATATTGCATCTCAATGACTTTGCCATCATTGTGAAAAGCCTTTCTCACTTTGAAACCAGTACCAAACTAAGAGCTACTTTATCATTAACTCAGGTGTCACTTCAAAGCTTAGGTTTCACCCACTTTGAAGAGAAGGTCTTATCAACTCAGAACCCTGAGAAACCTCACAAGAAGAAGTCATTTACTTAGGACAGCTTAAGCACTGTTCATTTAAACATAGTTACATACATCCCAATGACCGAATTAAAACAAACTTTTAAAACAAAGTTTAAAACAAACTTTTCTCCTATGCCCACCAAGTAAAAGGCACAGCTGTTTATATAAGTGCCAATAACAATCCAGGCATACATGAAGAACTGAATGTCCTTATCACCACAGCACTACTACTGATATAGCTGATAATAAGGAAAAAACAGTAACTACCCCAGATATTATCTACAGCATATGGCTTGATCAGAAAGGGCCATCGGAAAGTCTTCTGTGACTTGTCTCTTGCAGTGCAGTCATATTACATTCTGGTTCTATTGCTGCTGGCACAGTCAGAAGAAGAGAAAAATATCACAGCCAGGAAAACAACACTGGAAAGGAAAACTCAGAAACTGCACAATCTATCTGAAAATCACCCTTTCCAGAATAGATAAAAGTTCTAGTCTTTTAGGTTTGCAGAAGAAATCCCAGTTTCAGTTTTCTCTACAATGCAAAGCACTGATGACATTCTTCACTTGGATCATCTACCAGCCAGCTTCCCCTCACAATGTTCCTTACCTTTATTAAAAGCCCAAATCCTTCTCTTAATACAGCATAGACCAGACCTGGGCATTTTACAGTTCATAGACCACATTGGGCCCTCTGGCTCTCCCTATCTGGCCCATGTGGATTACTTTTATTTTGAAGATGAATTCTATTTTTTAAGAAAAATTAAATATATGTGTGTATGCAGGCCTTTGTACCTTCATAGCTCTATTGGTTCAGTCCTCCACAACAGTCCCAGTTTCTCATGTGCCCTTGGGAAAGTTAATTGCCCATCATTCGTACAGATCCACAAGAAACTTAAAATAAAACATTTTTAAGACACAAGTCATTTCTTAGGCAACTTGTCCATATATACAATTTTCATCCAACTCCAACACAATAAGATGCTCTTCTAGCTGTAATATGAATGCCGTGGTGAGAGGAATTGTGAGATATTCACTTAGTGGTCCCTTGGCGAAGTCTATTCTGATTTGAAGTGCTAATTACTCATCTCAAAGTACATATAGAAATATTCATGCCAAGCAATTCACATATTGTTGAAATCTCCTTTGGGAGATTTCATAGGCAACTTGTAATTAACGCAGAAATTGCGGAAAATCTTTGAATCTTAAAATTCAATCTCAATGGAGGAAATGCCATCATCACAATTAACACCTGGGCAATTTACTCATTAGATACACAACTTGAACAGGGGACTGCCTCAAGCTGAACTAGAAACACTGGGTAGAAGGACCAGAAAAATAATGACAATGAATCATGCCCTTCATCTGTGCACAATATTGACTGTACTTTCCAAGGAGCACAGGTAGGCGTGTAATGTTGCAAATACACCAGACAGTTGAATAAAAAAGGGCACTGGAATAGTTGAAGGACAGTGAAGAAGGTGCACTGAAATCTAGAACAATATGAAGGCTTTACTGAATACAAAGAAACAAAACTGGTCCAGATGAAGAACGAAAAATAGACACATGGCAAGACAAAATATTCTATGATCAGTACATTAAAAAGAGCAGGCAAACAGATAATAGCAAGACCTGGCAATGGCTGAAAGCAAGAAAGTTGAAGAAAGAGACAAGAGAGACTAATTCTGGTTACCCAAGACCAAGCCTTAAAAATAAATGCATAAATCCAGCAATGAGAAGATATCCAGCAAATGTCATATCTGCAAAGAAGCTGAAGAAACAGTGAACCACCCAGTTAGCTGATGCAGGAAGATCCTACAAACTGAAGAAAATAACAATGTAACAATAATAATGCATGGGAATATCTGCAAAAATTACTTCTTGTCCCCAAGCAAAAACTAAGAACCAAGCAAAAAACTGGGACCAAGACAAAAAAAGTTGGATACTGAACATTACATCTGGAGATAGAACAATAGAAAAGAAAGAACGGGAGAAAATAGAAGCAAAACTATCTGTGGCAAAAGAAAGGTAGTACAAATAATAATAGGCCCCTTGGGCACAATTCCAAAACATCTGGAGCACCACTAAAAACACCATCAGTATTGACAAAACCACCATCAGGCAATTGAAAAGGCAGTGTTACTTGGAATAGGTTACATCGTTCAAAGATCTTAATATTATTAAACAGTAATATCTGTCTATCCCATGCCGTTGGGAAAGCTTTCATAGCTGGCTAAAAATGCCTAAACCAGTCTAAACATCTCACTGACAGTGTGACCAACCATAGTATTTCTGAAGCCTAGTTGCAAAATAAAAAGGAAGCTATGATGAACTGAATCAAGGAAAAACCTTATATACTAGGTACATTTAATTATCTGAAACAAGGAATTTAATTATGCCTGATTTTATGCTGGGTAACTAGCCTAGTAGGTCAAATAATAGGTGAGAAGAACTGAGAAGACTGGAATACAAAATTGCAGGTATGTCCACAATGTCATATAGAAAGAACCATGGTTTTCTCACTTCTATTTCATGCCATTGTCTGATTAACAAAAGAAAGTCCAGGAGGCAACACGTTTAATAATTATCCTTTTGACAAGTTAGAAAAAACCTCCAGGTTTCAGGACACTTATGTATTAATAATCAAAGTTACAAGAATTCTGAATATTTGCTGTAATTTCTATGTACCAGATAGAATTACTACCATTCTCTTTTTCCTTCTAGTCCTTGACTGTAAATTCAAATCAATCAATTCCTGATCAGAATCACTGGTGGAAAGGCTGGATACAGACTTCTATTTGTCAACAAAAAAGATAAGCCAAACGAAAGCGAAGGTCATTTGCTAAAAGTACAAGAAAAGATGTGAGAAAGGTAATGTTGAACAGAGTGGGGAATGTAGACATCTCTTTTGGTAACACAAGAAAGTTTATCGGCAGTAAGCTCAGCACACAGTAGAAAGAGAACAATAAAACATTTTTAATAAGCTTCTGAAATTTGTTACCACAGACTGGAGCATCAATCACTAATTGGCTTGGCTAATTAAGGAGATCAGATAAATTCATGTTCAAAGGCAGTAAAGAATTTCCTTCTGAGTCAGTTTGTGAGATTCTGCAGCAATTTGGTTAGCCATACAGTTGTTAAAAACAAAAAACGTGGAAAAGGAACTTGGCATGAATACTGCATGGTTCTTACATACTACCTTCCTTTATTAGAATGAGAACTAAATGAGTTCTTTACCCAACTTTGCATAAAGAGGGAAGCAGTTCACAATTGTAAACAGAATTTCAATTGCATGGCCTGTTAACAAAAGGAAGCTATGCAATATTTATAATGCTTGCTCAGAAATGATAGTTCTCAGATATGAGTTTGCTACAAGGCCCTACATTCTAAAACAACAATTAGTTTCTTCATTAGATCTTAGATCTAGCTATCACAAAGCAACGAGTGAGCAAACGTCCAAAGAACCTGAAAGCCAGCTCATTAGTCTATAGTATTTTTGTGGCCTTAACACAGGCACTATGTTACTGATATTTACTCCTCCAACTCCAACCAGCTATTGTATTTTTAGGCTGCAAATATATGATCATTTTTATTCATCCAAAGGTGACATCAGAGAAGACTTCCTTGAAATTATGGTAAGATGAAACCCCTTTTGAAAATAAGTCGATACTGATTTTTTAAATCTAACTATAATCAAGGGTAAATATTATAAAAAGGGACTTCTCTTCATCTGGTCCTTTCAATCAATAAAAAATCATTGTAATACAGCAGTCAACAAATTTTAAATTGTTTCATATAAAGGGGTACCACAAATCAGCTGATACCATAAATGGCTTGGTTCACCAATCTTGTTATTTGGGAAATGAAAAGAGGAACAAATTGTTCCTCTTAAAACTTTCCCCATGTTACCATATGGCTTCAATCTTATGTATGTATGTATGTATGTATGTATGTATGTATGTATGTATGTATGTATGTATGTATAATATTTCTTAATAAAGAGCTATTATCTTTAGGTGGGAACAAATACTCCAAGAATGCCCAAATTACAAATTTTGAAGGAGAACTGCTCAAAGTCATGGAAGGCAAAACCAGTAACCATTATCAGCCATAGAAACTCCAGTGGGACAGAGCCCCATGTTTAGATGCAGGATTAGATATTTATGAAGTTATATAATCCAAGCTTTATGTAATCAAATTTCTGCTGAAGTTGAAATTCAGCCCTGCCCCTAAAACATGGAGTAGAAGTTTATATGTGCTTGTTATTTTCCTTTTTTGTTTGTTTGTTTATTGAAACATTTTTTGTAAAATTGAGTTCAAATTAAATTCAGTGTTACACAAGCTTGGGAACATCAATAATCAAATATCAGATGATAGCAACAGACAAACGTGTACACATCCTGTAAATATGTTTTAGAGGCATATGACTGCTATGAAAGATACAGTGCCAATCTTGGTCCCATGTCCTAAGGATATTTCTATACAACAGAAATGAAAAAAACATGCTGTCATTAATGTATGAGCAAAATCATAAACTATATTATAAATATCATGATGTTCATCAGAAGAGATATTACATATACAGAATAACAGTCTCACATATAACCATGACAAGAGCACCAAAATAGGAAGTTCAGAAAGTTTTAAATTGACACATTCAATTATTTAAATATCTATATTTATAAATAACTTACAACCAAAACTACTATTACTATATTTATTACAAGAACATCAGATGGATTATTTAAATAAGCATTCAAGTGCTTAACCTACACACACACAAACCCATTACTTTATTATGTTAGCTGTAAGCATTGTTGGGCATTCAAACAGGTTGTATGTGTTTGTTAAATATAAACTGATTTTCTTAAGAAAAAGATAAACATAAGGTAATTAATTTTATTCCTCTTATTGCACAGGCTGTTTGTTACGTTTACATAAAATCTATGTCTAGCCTTTATTTTTATACCTTGCCTCCTCATGAGATTTGAAGATATCCAATATTCTCATACCTTTTGTGATACACTGTAAACCCGGTTTCTGCTTACAAACTCACAATACATATGTGACAGACACGTATCTTTTGGAAATCTGCTGTTTTTCTTAAAAGCCCTTCCTACAAGTCCCATCACTTTAAAAATGCTTCTGTGATGAAATCTGTTTTCTTTTATAGCATCAGATAACAACACCCTGCACTGCCCATTAGGCATCACAATCGCTTTATCCAAGACAAGGCATACATACACCAACCACTCAGTGCCACCAATAATGCTCCGTTGGGTACTCAACTACTGACTTTCATCTGAAAATTATTCTTCCTTGCCAGACCCAACTTTTTTCACTTCCCCATCTTCCCTTAAGAGCAACCAACTGCAAGAAGGAAGCCAGACCTGTCTTGCCTGCTTCCTTCCATTTCCAAGCAAAGTTTTTTTTTTTTAACAGGGCAAGTGAAAGTTTGGAGGAAAACTTCTTGCAAATTCCAGAGTTCCTCTTCTATCCTATCAGAATGATGTAAGAAGCCCCACCTGATTGTGTGGCTTGCCTTTGCCTCTCCAGTTGCCCGACTGCCTGCAATACCCGTCTTTTGCACTCTCGGACACTCTTTTAGGCCAGGGGTCTCCAAAACTGGCCCCTTGAAGACTTGTGGACTTCAAGTCCCAGAATTCCCCTAACAGGTCTGGGACTTGAAGTCCACAAGTCTTCAAGGGGCCAACTTTGGAGAGCCCTGCTTTAGACCTTGCTCATCCATCCACACGCTTTCTCCTCCATTCGGTGAATAAAATCCTCCTCCACCTCCCCGTTAAGAGCCAAGCCAAACCGACAGGGCAGCCGCTTTTTTCGCGAAGGCCACCTGGTTACCTCAGGATGTCCCAAAAGAAGAAAAGGGCTCAAACACCCCCCCCCCTTCACACACACACACACCCGCTCCTTCCTCAGTTTCCCCAATCAACCCCTTCAGACGTTCTTTCTTCCCTTTCCCCACCTCAGCTTCTCGGGCGTCTCACCTGACTAGAGAGAGAATCGGGGAAGCTCGAACGCTTGCACACCTTTTCGACCTGCCCCGGGTTCGGCCGGCCCTAATAAAGGCACCAGCCGGCCCATCCCCACACCCCCATCTCCTCCCACCCCGGGCGCCTCGAGGACCGGAGCCCCGCTATCTCTTCCCCGTTTCCGCGCCAGGCCTCCTCGGGGCCCTTTCCCTGGATCCGGGGAGGCCTCTTCCCTCGTCCCCTCAGGCCGCTCCTCCCCCACCCCAACTGCCACACGCGGCCCCTTTGGGGGGCAGCCTGCCCCGCCCCCTTCCCAAAATTTCCCTTAGGTTCAGACCCGAGAGAGGCGCGGCTCCCATCCCGAACCTCCTCCCTCCCTCTGTCCGCCTCCCTTCCCTGCCTTGACCTTTCCCCGCCCGGCCTCCCTCACCTCTTTTCTTTTCTCGGCTCCGACTCTTCCGACCCGGCTTTTCTTCTGACTGAGGAGACTCAGTCAGGCTCGAGCTCTCGCGCGCTCCCTCTTTCTCTCCCTCTCCTTCCTCCCCCCTCCCTACCTCCGGAACTTCCGCCACACCACCAGAGCCCGCGCTAGACACAGTGGGCGGGGACCCCTTGTAAACCTTCAGCCTGGCCGGAAAGATATTGTGACGCTCTGGCTAGGTTTGTACGGAAAGCGGAAAAAGGATGGAAGATGGGAAAGAGCCTCTAAAGGGCGCAGCCATCTTGCGGTGACTTTTCCGTGGCCGTACTCTTCTTCTTCCCCCTCCACCTGCCTGCCCCTTCGTTTTGATAATGCTTTCGTTCTTTCAGTATCGTGTGGGGGCCATCACGAAAGACGGAGTTTGGGATTCTCTCCCCCCCCCGCCGCTCCGCGAGCCTTAGCTGGCTGAAGAATTCTGGGAGTTGAAGTCCACAAGTTGCCAAACTATGCTTGCTGGAGAATTCTGGGAGTTGAAGTCCACAAGTCTTAAGTTGCCAAACTATGCTTGCTGGAGAATTCTGGGAGTTGAAGTCTACCAGTCTTAAAGTTGCCAAGTCTTGGGGACCCCTGATCTAAAGTGAATGCAGCCACGGGTTTACAAGCCCCCCTGGCTAAGAAACCCAGGCAAGGTGACTTCCCTCCATTAATAATTATTATTAATATTATTAATAATTAATAAATTAATAATAATAATAATAATAATAATAATAATAAATAATAATTATTATTATACAA